CTGGTGGTGGACACGGAGAAGCTGCCCATCAACCGGCTGGCGCCCAGCGGGAAGCCGGTGCTGGTGCAGAGCCGGGGCGAGAAGCGCACGGCCCACAACGCCATCGAGAAGCGCTACCGCTCCTCCATCAACGACAAGATCGTGGAGCTCAAGGACCTGGTGGTGGGCACCGAGGCCAAGGTGGGCRCTGGGGAGTGGCAGGGTGGTGGGCACTGCGGGCTTTGCCTGGTGTTTGGACTGAGCCGTTCCTGCCCCCGGCAGCTCAACAAGTCGGCGATCCTGAGGAAGGCCATCGAGTACATTCGCTTCCTGCAGCAGAGCAACCAGAAGCTGAAGCAGGAGAACCTGGCCCTGAAGCTGGCYGTGCAGAAGAACCGTGAGTGCCAGGGCAGCTCGTGGAGAGGGGGCTCAGGTCCTGTCCCAGCAGCCCTCAGCTTTCTCTGCTTCCTGCAGAGCCCGCCAAGGACCAGGGGACCCCCTGCAGCCGGGGRGCTAAGGCAGAGGTGCCCATGGAGGTGGTGAAGACGGAGGTGATGGAGATGCTGACCCCACCACCCTCAGATGTGGGCTCACCGTCCCACAGCAGCCCACCCTCGCTCAGCGGCGGCAGCAGCAACAGCAGCAGCGACTCCGAGCCTGAGAGCCCCCTCTGTGCCCACGGCAAGGTGAGGGAGGGCTCTGGGGAGGATCTCCCTGCCCTGAGTGGGGCAGGGGATCTGCTGCTTTGTGTAGGAGGTGCCAAGGGCTGAGTGTACCAGGCGGGGAAAGAGCYGACAGCCCTGGTCGTGTTCTCTGAGGCTGCTCCTCACATGATTTGGGGCTGGGTGTGGGGGCAATTTTGTTCCACCCTAAAATGTACTCTGTGCCCCATGCAATATGTGCCCCTATATTCCAACCTGTGCCTCGTTCACCATGCCCCATATCCCATGCCCTGTATCACATACCCATCCCCCATTATCACACCCCATACTCGATGCCGTGTACCCCACGGTCTGGATGCCGTGCCCTGTATCCCATGCCCTATATCCCATACCTGTGACCCTCACCCCATGCCCGTGCCCACATCCCAGGCTCACAGCAGCTCTGCCCATGCAGGTGAAGCAGGAGCACCCCCCGCCCTCGCCCAGCAGCCAGGGAATGCTGGACCGCTCCCGCATGGCCCTCTGCACCTTCGTCTTCCTCTGCCTCTCCTTCAACCCCCTGGCCTCGCTGCTCCGKGGTTCTGGTTCTTCAGCCCCTCTGGGGAGCCAGGACACTGCTGGTCCTGGCAGGAGCATCATGGCTCAGTCTGGCACTTTGGGTAAGCTCCGGTGTGGGGTGCGGGGCACTGGGATGGGCAGTGAGGTGATTGTTGGGGTGAGCACAAGGTGGAGGCCATTGGAATGGAGGTTTTTGGGATGGGTGTGGGATGAAGGCTGTTGACGTGGAGACTGTCGGGGTGCAGGATATTGGGATGGGGGTGTGGGGCTACCTGGCTCAAGGCTGCTGGGGTTGTCTTGAGGTAAAGGCTGTTGGGATGGAGGTTGTCAGAGAGGAGGTGGTCATGCTGGACATGGGGCATAGGGAGGGGGCTTCGGGGTAGGTCTGAGATGGGAGATGATTGGGGTGGACATGTGGGGCCTGTGGGGCAGAGCCTGTTGGCTGGACTCTGCTGGGATGGACACAATGGGGTGGAGGCTCTTTGGGTGGGCACAGGGCAGCGTTGGCAGARCATTGCTGACCCCATCCCTACAGAGGAGCCCTGGGGGTGGACGCAGTGGCTGTGGCCCACTCTGGCCTTCTGGGCGCTGAACGCGGCGCTGGTGCTGGGTGCGGTGGTGCGGCTCTTCGTSTGCGGGGAGCCCGTCACCCGCCCCCACTCCGAGCCCTCCATCCTCTTCTGGCGGCACCGCCGGCAGGCTGACCTCGACCTGGACCGGGTAGGTGTGGCCGTGTCCCCTGCCCCATCCCACACCCACCCCGTCCCCCTGCCCTGCCCGCTCTGATCCTCTCTCTGGGCGCAGGGAGACTTCGCGCAGGGGGCTCAGCACCTGCGGACGGCGCTCGGGGCGCTGGGSCGGCCGCTGCCCGCCTCCCACGGGGACCTGGCCTGCAGCCTGCTCTGGACGCTGCTGCGCCACCTGCTCCAGCGCCTCTGGGTGGGTCGCTGGCTGGCTGCCCGCGCTGGGGGACTGCGCCCGGACCCCCCGCCCGCCGCCCACGTCCGCCAGAGCGCCCGCGACGCTGCCATGGCTTATCACCGCCTGCACCAGCTGCACCTCGCCGGTACGGCCCCGCACCGCGGGGGCTGGGGGATGGGATCTCTGTGCCCACACAACCCCTCAGCCCCCTGAGCCCGTGCCTGAGCCTCCTGTCCCCATTCCACAGGGAAGCAGGCTGGGGGGCACCTGCTGGCCATCAACCTGGCRCTGAGCGCCGTCAACCTGGCTGAGTGCGCCGGTGACGCCATCTCCGTGGCGGCGCTGGCCGAGATCTACGTGGCAGCTGCCCTGCGCATCAAGGCCAGCCTGCACCGCTGCTTCCACTTCTTGGCGGTGAGTGTGGGGTACTGGAGTGTCCCCTGTGTCCCCTGGCATTGGGGTTTCAGGTTTCCCTGACCTCCTGCTCTCCCCGCAGCGCCCCTTCCTCTGCAGCGCCCGGCGTGTGGCCCTGTCCCACGGTGGGGCCGTGCCCCCCGCCATGCAGTGGCTCTGCCACCCCTTGGGCCACCGCTTCTTCGTCGACGGGGACTGGGCGGTCAAGGGTGTCCTCAGGGAGACCATCTACAGCTCTGCTGGCAACCCAGGTGACTCCAAGTCCCCAAACCCCCGCTCCCCCCGTTCTGGGGTGTGGTGTACCTGCTGACTCTGTCTCTGTGCCCCAGTGGACCCRCTGGCACAGGTGACACAGCTGTTCCGTGAGCACCTCCTGGAGAAGGCGCTGTGCTGCGTGGCCATGCCTGAGCCCGGCCGTCCCGCTGCCCAGGGAGAGGGGTGAGTGCTGGGGTGGGCACCTCTCCCTGTGCTGGGGTGGGCACATCTCCCCATGCCCAGTTTGGGGCAGCCCCTCACAGCTCCTCTCCACAGGCGGTTCTCTGACGCTCTCGAGTACCTTCAGCTGCTCAATGGCTGCTCCGATGTCAGCGGCACTCCTGGCCCCGTGCCCTCCATCACCTCCGGCTTGGCGGCTGTCACAGGTGAGGCTGGCGTGTCCCCYGTTGGGGTCACCTCATGTGGGGAGCCATGGGAGTGGGAACACTCTGCTCCTGTGTCTCTCCCACCCCGCAGGCACTGACCCCGTGTCCAAGTGGTGGGCGTCCTTCATTGGCATCGTTATCCACTGGCTGCAGGGAGATGAGGAGGGGGCTGAGCGCCTCTACCCGCTGGTGGAGACCATGCCCCGGGCACTGCARAGYTCTGAGTGAGTGCTGGGGACAYTGGGGACAGGGGTGGCACCTCAGTATTGGACTGGTACAGTGGTACACACTCTGTGTGTGTTGAGGAAGGGCACAGCTGTGCCCTGCGAGGGCTCTGTGGTGACCRTGTCCCCTCYACCTTGCAGGAAGCCCCTTCCCCGYGCTGCCCTGCACTCCTTCCGAGCTGTCCGTACCTTGCTGAGCAAACAGGACGGGAGCCAGGCCACGCTGACCCACTGTGAGAAGGCCAGCAGCTGCCTGCGGGAGAGCCTGGAGCTGGGCAGTCCCCCCAAGGGCACCATCGACAAGGTGAGCCAGGCTGGGGGGGCACCAGGCGGCCACGAGCCCCCAGCCCTGGCGGGAGGTGCCCCCGACCCTCGCGGGGGTGCATTGTAGTTGCATTGCATGTGTCAGACTGGGAGTGCAATGCCCCTGCCATGCAGCCCGGCGGGGGTCCCGCGCAGCAGTGCCTGCCCGCAGGGCCCTCCTCGGCACCCCCCGGCCCTTCACCCGCCCCCTGCTCACCCCGATCCCCCTGTCCTCGCAGGCGGTGCAGTTCCTGCTCTGTGACCTGCTCCTGGTCACCCGCACCAACCTGTGGCAGCAGCAGATGGGCGCCAGCCAGCAGCGCAGCTGCCTCTACCAGGCGTCCGCCCTGGAGCTCCGCGGCTTCCAGCAGGACCTGAGCAGCCTGCGGCGCCTGGCACAGACCCTGCGCCCCGCCATGCGCCGGGTGAGCCCCCCGACCCTCACCTGCCGGCTGTCCTGGTGCCCCGCACCCGCCTGTGCTCACTATCCCCTCCAATCCAGGTGTTCCTGCACGAAGCCACCGCCAGGCTGATGGCCCGGGCCAGCCCCACGCGCACCCACCAGCTGCTGGACCGCAGCCTGCGGAGGAGAGGGGTGCAGGGCAGCAAAACAGGTGGGTGCGGGGTGGGATGTGGGGTGGGACAGCTCAGGCTCACCTGCAGCACCCCGGCAGCCTTGGGTGGTGGGATGTGGTGGGACACAGGGTGGGACACACCTATCTGCACCCACGGTATCCCAGCACTCTGCAGTTGGATACCTTTGTCACCACAGTGGTGGATGGGAAATGGGGTGAGGCACCCTGATCTGCACCTGCAGCAGCCCCCAGAAGTCTTGGCTGGTGGGACACAGAGTGGGAAACCCCATTCTGCACCCAGAGCACCCCAGCAGCCTTGGGTGATGGGATATGGGGTGAGATACAGGATGGGACACCCCTTTCCCACCCTCAGCACTCCAGCACCACAGATGGTGGGTTATGGGGTGGGACACMCCAAGAGCTGGGACATGCCAGCCCYCAGYCCCTCCTGGTGGGAGCATCAGCTCCAGGGTGGGTGAATAACCTCACCTCTGTGTCAAACCTCCTGAGATTTATTCCGTGGCTTCCACGGGCTGACCTTGGCTCTGTCCCCGCAGCTGGAGAGCCCGAGAGCCACCCCACACCACGGGAACACGCCGAGGCGCTGCTGCTGGCCTGCTGCTACCTCCCGCCCAGCTTCCTGGCGGGCCCGGGCCAGCGCGTGGGGATGCTGGCCGAGGCAGCCCGCACGCTGGACAAGCTGGGTGACCGCCGGACGCTGCACGACTGCCAGCAGATGATCATCAAGCTGGGCAGCGGCACCACTGTCACGTCAGGATAGGTGGGGAAGGGGCCGCCAGCCCCCTGCCACCCCCGTGGGTGCGGGATGTGGGACGGCGGGAGGCCGTGCCTCAGTTTCCCCGCAGGATGGTGTCAGGGAGCGGTTCTGGAGGTGAAGGGGTGGGTGGGGAGGGGTCGGGTGATAGCCGATGTGGGTGCGGGGTGGAGGTTGCAGCGTGGGGTGCCTCGGGTGGGCTCCCCCCCCACGGCCGTGTCCGTGTCCCCAGCCCGCGTGGGGGACGGGGCGAGGGGCCCTCTAGTGACACTGTCACAGTATTGCAGGGCACCGGCACGCGCGGCAGCGACCCCCGGTGCCACCAGAACCCCCCCAGTGCCACCTGCGTCCCCCCGGTGTCACCTGTACCCCTCAGTGCACACGCTGGGGGCCCCTTCTGGGGGACTCTGCCCGGCCCCCCGTGGGTCCCGCTGTTGTAGGAACAACAGTCCCCTTGGGTTCGGGGCTTGGTTTTGGAGGTTTGGCCCCACGGCAGCAGTGCAGTGCCCCCTCCTCAGCCATGCCCACGGAAGGCAGGAGGGGACCCCCACCCCGTTCCCCCCACCAGCACTGATCCCCCCCATTAAGAGCTGCCACCACCCCGGAGCATGGACAGATTTYGGGAGAAGGGATGGCACGGGGTGGCACGGGGCTCCCGGGGGGCTGGTGGGTGCCCCTGTGTCCTTGCTTCACCCCCTCTTGTACATAGACCCCTCCCCTCGCCTCCCCCCACTCCCCTTTTCCCTTTTTAAACGGTATTTTCATAGTTGGAGAGTTTTGTACAGACAATTAAAGCTGATTATTTATACTGGTGTGTGCTGGATTGGAGGGGAACTGACACCAAAAATGGGGGCTGCACGCGACGGGGGGGGGGACAAGCGTGGCAGGGATGGGGACATTGGGTGCCAAGGGAGCCCAAACACCCCCTCTTCACCCCATGATGTCTTGAGGGGTGCTGTCCCCCTGTCCCCACACTCCACCCCGCCAGCAAGACCCTCGGGGACAAAGCAGCAGCCAGGGGCTGTCACAGCCCAGGGGGGGACCTGAGCAGCCCCCCAGGGATAGAGAGGCCACGAGCAGGGCGCCACRTACTTCCAAAACAATCGTTGTATCTTTATTGACGCTCTGAATGCAATGACCTGTTTTTTTACTCTTAAGGAAAATAAACATCTTTTAGAAACAGCTTGTTACACACAATCTTCAGTGTGAAGCAATATACTAATAAGAACACTAGTCTTAACATTTACAGTCTTCATATATATTATATATATGTATATGTATACATATATATACACTATATAATGAGGCAATATATAATACACACGGTTTACCATTTTACAGTCATATGTACAAGATGTCACTAAAAATAGCCAGATTTCAGGCAACACTGCCAAGGACACWGGGATTTTTGTTTTGTTCTTTAAATTAATTATTTTTATTATTACTTCTCCCTTTTTTTAAAAATTTTTCTTACCAACTCTTTTGTGTTTTTTGCTCCTGTGTCCGAGGCAGCTGCTGAAACAACAGACATTGTGTGGCCAGCAAACCTTGGGTTGGATGGGATGGTGGGGACACTAGAGGTGACAGGGACATGGGGCGCTGGCTCTGCGGGGGACGTGGATGGGACCAGCAGTGTGCCCCCTTTGCAGGATGCTGCAGAGGCAGTGGCTGTTTTTAGGATGGGATYTGGGGTTGGTTCACCCTGGATTGGTTGCTACCTGTGTCAGGGTGGGGGTGACACAAAGATGGRGTGTGGAGCCTAGAGACGTGGGCAGAGGTCACCGAAGTGCTGGGCAGTTGTCCAGCTCCACTGAGTGCCCAGGAAGCGAAAGCTGAGGSAGCTGAGCAAACCCAGAGCAGTGAGGGGTGAGTCCATGTGGAGGGAGGAAGCAAATGCCTSCTCCTCCTCCTTCTCCTCCTCCTCCTCCAGTTCAGCACACAGAGCTGTGGGGTTCAGTACCCAGAGCTGTGGGGTTCAGCACAAGCACAGGGAGCAAAGCCCCCACAAGAGGAGCCACAGAAGGGGTGCTGGTGAGGYCGAGCAGAGGCAGGAGGGAGGGTTTTGGGGGTCCTGGACAGTAGGACCAGGTGTCCCCAGCCCAGCAGTGCCAGCGCCGCATGGAGTGGGACAGTGGTGGGTGCAATGCGCCAGGGTTTGGGGTTTGGGAGCCTGGCTGGGGCAGCCCAGTGTGTGCCCATCGGCCTCGCCAAGCACCCTCAGCCCCCCAGCACCCTGGGTGTGGGTGGGGGCAAACAGGAGATGGAAAATCAAAACAGAAAAAGCAGAGTGGTGTTTCAAACAGCAGGCCGTTGCTTGCCTTTTTTTTTTTTTCTCATTTTTCTTTTTTTTTCTTTTTTTTTTTTTTTTTTTTGTCTTTTTTTTTTATCCTTTTCTCCGCTGAACTATATACAGACACCATGAGGTTTGCTGAAGGCAACATCTCAGATCAGATCAGTGTGATATTGAGAGCCGGGACCCACGGAGGGTCTGGCGGCCCCACAGTAAGACAACATCGCCGGGACCCCCCCTCGTACACGGACACCCCCCCGCCCCCCTGTGCAGCCATCGCGGGTGGGGGATCCCGATCCGTTCCCCGCGTATCCAGACCCGGTTTTACAGGGACCCGGCGGAAGGGAAAGCCYGGCGCTGGCTCCGCCCACCCGGAGCGGGCTCGGGGGGTCCCCGGCCCGGCTCGACCCAGCCCTGCTCCGCTTCAGGCGCTGCTTCCTCGGCCGGTCCCTCGCTGGCGGCGGGGCGGGTGCCCGCGGGCGCTACACCGGCTGCCTCTGTGGGGAGAATGACGGTGTCAGCCCGGGGGTCTCGTTGGAGGTGGAGGGGTGGCCCTGGGTTGTCCCCATCAGCCCCCCTCCGCCAATAACCGGGCACTCACCCGGGAAGCAGTGCTTTGACAAGGGGTTCAACCATCGTTCATCACCTCATTATCTGCTCAGGGGAGGGGGTAACACCCCTCAGACCTGTCCGGGGAGTCCCAGACCAGCACCCAGTCACTGGCCCTCCCAATACCCCCAGGAATGTGATGCCAACACGGAGCTGAGCATCCAGGATGGGTGTCCCCAGGAATTTGGGGTCTGTGGCAGGTCCTCCTGCTGCAGAGCACTGTGTGGTGCACAGGGAGCTCTGGGCTTACCTTATGTTTGGGACATCTCAAAGAGAAGCTCTCCTCAGTTAATAAGCAACCTGCGAGGAGAGGACAAAGATGCATCAGGAGACACCCAGCACTGCGAGACAGCTGGCCCTGAGTGGGGGGAATGTAGTGTCCCCCTGGCCCACGGCCACCCACCAGCCACAGCGTTTGTGTGAACGGCTCAGCTGAGGCCAGACAGACTTGTGGCACCTTCCAGTGTCACACTGCTGCAGTGAGCACCACCCAGCAGGGAGCGAGCCACGAGCCCACTCTGACCTTGGAGCAATGGGCTCCATGTCCAGCTGTGCTGGAGAGCGCCCAGGACCCCGTGTCGCTGTCCCCGAGGCCGGGCTCACCTGTGTCGATGGCACACGCATAGTGGTAGGTGTGGGGACACCCCTTCTGGCAGCAGCCCACGGTGGCTCCCGCTTGCTGGCAGCTCGAGCACTTCTGTGAACGCACCCGGGAATTCCGAGCAGGGAAGGAGAGATGTGGAGAGACAGAGAGACCCCATGAGACCCAAGACAGATGAGAACCATGACAGTCCCAACAGCGAGGCAACACAGGTGTCCAGCCTCTCTTCCCTCTCCCAGGCCAAACCTTTCTCCCGTGCCAGCGCACTGTGAACCACACCACGCCTCTCGCTTGGCTGTCTGCAGCCACACACGAGGTTCCTACATGCCATAGCATTCCCCCGGATGACACTGAGCCCACAGCCGTGCCCCATGGGGCAGGAGGTGCAGGGACATGACCTGGGTTGGGTCTGGCCTGCCCACGGAGGGGAGTGCCTGGCTCTGTGGGGAGGACAGTAGCCTCCAGCCAGCCATGACATGAGCATGCAGGCTCAGGAACACAGCCAGCCCCCAAACCTTGCACTGGGGGACTTGCTGGAGACCCCCTGCCCAGCCTCTGCCAGRGGTGTGTCCCCTCCTGCTCCCCAGCACTAAAATCCCATGTCACAGAATCTCAGAATGGCGYGGAAAGGATCTTAAAACAGCTTATCTCATTCCACCTCCCTCCCACAGGCAGGGAAGCTTTCCACTAGACCAGGCTGCTCCAAGCCCTATCCAGCCTTGAATACTTCTAGGAATGAGGCAGCCACGACTTCTCACCCCTCCAGCAACCTCCCTATTTTGCTCGCTCGATGTGGCTGTGCTCCAGACACTGGGAGAAAGGAGCAGGGAAGGATCACCCCTCCCTCCAGCTCCCCTTCCCCTGCTGCCCATCACTGTGACATCAGGCTGTGTTGTGCCCGTTTTCATCCCCATCCCGATGCATCTGTGCCACCCTGGATGCCATGTGGGTGGGCCAGGGGATGTGACAGTCCCAGCAGGTCCCAGCTACCGTCCTAAAACCTAATACCATCCATACGTTTTTGTGCTTGAAAAGGGGTAGTTAAGGTATTATCAGAGATGCAGAACAAATCTCTTAGGGACTCAGAGGGGCTCATGGTGCTGAGCACTGGCCCTGCTTTCCCAGGGCAAATCTGTTAATTTTCATCCCGACCGGAGGCGCAGACAGGGAATGAYGCTGGCTGAAGGAGGCCAGAGGGAGATGTCACCTCGGGATGCGGTCCCGGGCTTGCGGCCGAGCTCTTACCAGGTCGGCAGCCGCCTTGACAGCCTCCTGCAGCCCATAGAGCTTCCCTGCCACCAGGAAAACCCCAGCGGTCCATACGGCACAGGCTTCGTGCAGCCAATGCTCCTGCGTGTCGCCCGCCGGCTCCTGCGGCGGGGACTCGGCCTTGTGACATTCGTGCCGCCGGGGCTTTTCGGCCGCCTCCTCGCCCTCTGTCCTCTCGTCACAGCAGTAGCAGCTCTGCAGCCGACGGAACATGCCCCGCGGGCTGGAGCGCAGCGAACTCTGCTTGGCCGCCTCAGCAGCCCCCTCGGGCCGCGCCGCCTTCCCACAGCCGCCCTCAGTCCCGCGGGGCGCCCGCTCTGCCGCGGYGGGCACTGCCGAGTCCTCGCCCGGCCCCTCCGCCCGCGCCTTCTCCTTCAGCCGSGATTTCTTCTTGGGCAGGCAGTCCTCGGGGTAGTAGGGCCCGCAGAGGTCCCCCAGGTCCTTGTAGTTGGCGGGGTTGCGGCAGAGGCAGCAGACCAGGCACGCGGCGCTCAGCGCCTTCGACACCACCGGCCCCATGTGCATGGTGGAGGAGGAGGGCAGAGCCGCCCGCGGTCGCGGCGCCGGCCCGGCCGGTCCCCGCTGCAGCCGCGCCTCGTCGCCGGGCGAGTTGACGACGGTGCAGGTGGTGGTGAACTCTCCGCGCCGCTCCACGCGGACGTAGGGAGCGAAGGGTGGGGCGCGGCTGTCCGCCCGCAGCCGCTTGCAGGAGATGTATTTCAGGCGGATCTCGGGCTCGGCGGGGTGCAGCAGCGGRGCCTGCTGGGGCTGCCGCCGCCGCTTCCCGCGGCTCTTGCACCGCGCCGGCACCGCCTTGGCCTTGCCGTGGCCCAGACGCTTCCGCTGCCGCTTGGAGTAGCCGTTGTAGTTGGAGTGGTTGGCCCGCGGCTTCGGCCCCCGCGCTGGCCCGGCGGCGGAACGGCCCTCGGGAGGGGCATCGCCGCTGCCCGCCTCCTTCTCCTCAGTCTTTGGTTTCTTCTCCCGCGGCGCCTCCTCYGCACCGCCCGGGCCGGCCGCACGCTCCCGGGACAGCGGTGGT